ATCAAATGTATTTAGTTGTAATAATCTGTTGTACATATGATATATATATGTGAAAAAAGAAGTTGTATTTGTTACTGCATATTTTAATGTATAAGTTGTTGGAAAAGAAAAAAAGAAGAAAATCAGCACATATCTTAGTATTGGCTATAGACAATGGAGGACAAAATATAAAATCTGACATCATATACTATAGATCTTGTAAATGGAATGAAAGCTTATTACAATTGCAGCAGATAACAATTTGATTACTGTTTTCGAATGTAATTCATATTTAGCACACTTAGCACTTATATTAAGAAATGAATGCTGCTCTCAAGGGAACTGTCCCAGGAAATGACCACCTTTCCATACTCATTTCTTCATAAAAAAAATTGGTTGGAGTTAACTCATTGATACTTTTTGCATAACATTGAATAGTGCTTCGTTTCATATATAATTTTGACCCTGCATCCCCATAGTGGGGGTGGGGGGCATAAAAAAAAAGTTGAATTTTTTTTTTTCTCTCTCTTCTTTGGTACATAATATGGCCCATATTTTTTCCAGAACAATCCACAAAAAAATTCATTAGATCTATCCCAGCCTAAGGCAGTGTAATAGCCCGATTTTTGAATTTCCTTTTTTTTTTTTTTTTTTTTTGTGGGGAGTGGATATAGAGAACTATTTTTTGTCTGTTTTTTTCATCATTAAAAAATTTATATTTTTTGAGTAAGGTCAAAATTTAAAAATTGTGCTATTACATAGCCTCAGGGCTCTGAGGCTCTAGTGAATGCAACAAACTGCAATTGAATTGCACAAAAATTACAAGCCCCAGTATGTACCAAAGGTTGTGTAAACAAAGAACGGAGATATGGCGTATTATATTTTGGCAGCTTGCCAAAGTTCGTTATCTCTATTATTTTTCTCTAAACCTAAGGATGTTAAATATATATATATATATATATATATATATATATATATATATATATATATATTATATATATATATATATATATATATATATATATATATATATATATATATATATATATATATATATATATATATATATATATATATATACATACAAAGCTTATTTAGTGTACTTTGCGATGCAATGATTACCAAGTCAATCAGAATTACCATTTTCAATACGGAAACTTTCCTATAAAGGTATGTAATTTTTTATTTTATTTTATTTTTTTTATATCAAAATAGATATTTTCATCTGAAAAGTTTAATAAATGCATTTTACCATAGAGACAACTAATCTAAATCAGATAAGAACATTTTTTATAATTTTTTAGTTTTTAGAATTTTTTTATTATTTTCTTTTTACTCCGATTTTGAAAAAATGGAGAACCGTGGATGGCAGTATCAATACCGAAGGTACTGATATGGTCACTGGGTGTTTATAATTTTCGAGGAGTGTCATATGTTCGTAAACAGACACATAGTGTTAAAACAAAAATTAATCATCCATATCTAAAGGAATAAAATATATTAGTTACCTTACAAACTGTTTTCTTCGATCATTGTCAATATTAGCAGATTGCAAAGGGAAACGAGTGTAGAGTTGTTGATTAGCCATTTGCACCCATTATCTTTAATAAGAAGTGCATAAAATCATGCAGACGCCTAGGTGTGGTTGGATATTTGCGAATGTATGGTACCTAAGGCCTATGGTTTAAACGTATTATTTTTTATCGGAAATGCACGAAACAGATGTGATAGTTCTTTCAACTCTAGACGAAGACTGCGCACTAAATGAAGTTCAAAATTCCATATAGTTTTTATTTCGGAGCGGGTATTACTGAGTACTATCATCTTGAAATAATCAGTATCTTGCTTATACATCCGAAGTTCAAAAATCCGATTATATGGTGACCTTCGTAATGAAGTCTACTTCACAGTGGTAATGACCAATTCCTAATCAAATCAAATTTACCGATGCCATAATGTACCGAGCGTTGAGCGAGATGTAATGGAAATATTGCAATCCTTACTTAAAAGCCTATTTTCAAACATTAGTTCTTTGTACGTGATATACGTACAGATTACTTCGGAACCTACAACATATTACCAGGGAGTCTTGATAAAAGTATATTTCGTGTATAAAAGGACACAAAACTTAAATTTGTTTTAGATATATTTCACAAAATATTTCGTCATAAATCACGGTGATATAATATTTTCTGATATTGGTATAAAAGTGTTCCTTGAACCTTCAAGAACTCATATCTATGTACAATGTCATAATCAAATGCCGTATGCACGATTGCAGCAAGCAGAAGTCCACATAGGTGTACCTGGAATGCAAACAGTTTAGGAAAATTTTGCTTTCAGGCACTCATAATTATGCAGTAGATAGATTTGTAAAATCAGAATTTACGACTTTGAGCAGAAATTGTTTACCATTTTTTCCTGTGGTTATAATTGATATAAACGTTAGAGCAAGCAAATCTTCAAGTATTAGCTGAAGCCTTCTTCCAGGAGCATCATCTTATTACACACACACAAATTAGGTGTACTGTCATTGATTTATCAGGCATTCCATGAAAGATGGAATACTGTAGGAGTTCTTATTGTTGACAGCAAAAACAACAGCTAAAACAAATATATGGTTATTGGTAATGCTTTTATGAACAGGAAGTATTTGTAGATATTTGAGGGAATTCTGGAGGTCCTAGCACATGTTTAGGTTTACATGTTACTTTTACTGATATTCTAGAAGCAAATATATCTCTCTTAGTATTTCTTAAAGACCATACATTCCTCTAACAATTGGGCATTTGCAGATGAGGCCGACTTCAACCACACTGCCACCCTTCTGTTGATCGAATTCATACGCCAGAGGTTTCAGAGGTTCCTCCTGATACACTCGCGTGCTGCGGTGTACAGAGAGGTGCAGGAGGAACTGTGTTTCAGGGGATTTTCTTTCACCATTGAGAAGATCAGGAGGAAGTGGAATAACCTGATCACCACATACCGGAGAATAAAGGAGAAGAACAGTGAAGATCCGAAAGTCAAAATAATGTGGGATTACTTTCAGGTATGGAGTCATAGAGGCAGTCATGGGAAAAGAAAGGAAATGTAAAAGCAGTGATGTTTAGGGTCTGGCTAGGAATATTGTAGTCTATTATCTTTCTGTCCTTGCATTAAGAAGAATCTAACCCATACTTGAAATGACGAGGATTTCCATTCTCTTTCTTCCTGTAGACTTATTCATTTAATTTATTGATCTTTTATTATTTTACTCTTAATGAGTATGCAGCAGAGATGCACATTAACTTGAAGATTAGTAATAGCCAAGGGTATCATGTGTTACTACAAAGAAATTATTTTACAATCAGCATAGTAAATTCTAAAATGAATATCCATTTTTAAATTTTTAAAACATTTTATTTGTCTTCAGAATCTGGATGACTTTTGTTGCATTACATTTTTTATCGATATTAATCTGTCACAGTTACTGAGTACTGCACATCTTTTCCAGCTGTTGGATGATCTTTTAGGAACAACAGTTCTCACTGTGCCGCCTGAGTGTGAAGTTCAGAGTGTCAATAGCAGTGGCAGTAAAGGTCCTGTGTCACCCCAGTCTACCCCCCAAACTGAGGAAGCAACTCTGACAAAACCAGCGTCCCCAGCAAAGCTATCAGCCCCTTCAAGGCTTGCTTCAACACCTACCAAAGCCCATTCTCCAGAGAAGATGGAGGCACCAAAAAATACCCAGGTCTTCCGTCCAAATGTCCCCATCAAGACTGAAGAAGGAGCTGAACCACCAGTTATCCACATAGTTCAGTCTTCAGCAGGGACAACACTCACTGTGCCTCCAAGTTCACCCAGTGCACCCCTGCATAGTGACAAGACAGTTGTGCTGCAGACCTCAACACCGAGGCTAGAGAAGGCACAAGTCAATGGCAAGGCCTCTGACCCATCAACAGTCTTCCTTGAATACCAGATTGAGCAAGGGGAGCGGCGGCTGGATGTCATGGACGAGTATTTCCAGTACATGAAGGAAAGGTTAGCAAAGAAAATGCAGTACAAAAGAGAGAAAGCCCTGAGGGACAGCAGGAGTATCAAAGTGCTTTGGGAAATTGGAGATGCTTCTGAAAACCTTAAGAAGGGTTTGCTTGAAGTGAAAGGCTCCTGAGGGAATACAAGCAACTGGAGAGTGTTAGTGGCTGTGTGAGAAATGTGATAATCGTATCTGTTAATGTTGTTAAGTGTTTTGTTTTCCAATGAAATATTTTTTTTAGGAATATAAAGTTTCTAGAGTGGATTTTTCTCTTTGATAGTCATCACTTAGGTGAGTAATTGTGAAATAAAATTTTCATTTTTTAAAACTGAAAAGTTCTTGGATCAAATTAATTGCACACATAATTTTACATGGAACAAATCTTCACAAGAAAGACAGACCAGACTGCTGTGGTGCCTTTTAAAATCTGTGACAAACGGTGTTTTTTTATTTGATTTTTTCATCTCCCTTTTTCAGTTAGTTCAGTTCTCAAGAAACCTAGTCAGCTTATAAATAGACAGTCTGGGAAATTTCAGTTTGAAACATCTCATTTCCTTAGAGATCTGTACCTGATGTTATAGTGTATACACAAGTAAAATCAGTAATTGTTTTACTATAGTAATATCAGATAATTATATCTAAAATAGTTCTGTAAGTATATTTGTTTTCAGTTGTGTAATAAATATAAGAATATTTTTTCAACTAATTTACTAAATTAGGATAAATTTAATTCTGATACATTTGTTCAGTCAAAAAGCAATGCTTCTGAATAAAAATTAGAATTTTACTTTTTTCTCATGAACTTTAATATCCTTATGAATGAAGAAGACATAAAGAGATTTGATGCAAAATCAAAATAAGAACTATCAATAAAACACTAGACTCTTTGTAAGTACTAACACATGCACAATTCCTATAGCAGTCCCCAAATTCGAAGCTTACTGCTGAACTTAGTACATAAAAACTGACTCCTTGAGTACATATTCAGATATATTGCTTGAGGGAACATGAAAAGTGGAAATGCAGTTATGATGAAAGATCACATTTCACTTTAGGTAAACATTGTTTATGATTTTTACTATTTATACTTAATCAAAAACATTGTTGATCATGAAACCTTAAAATGACAAATGTAAGTGTAGCATTCTTGACATCATATTTTTTCCATACAAAAAGAAAAAGAAAAAAAAAGAAAGAAAGAAAAAAAAGCAATAGAATAGTGGTTCTTTGAGGACAGAGCAAGGGGGTCGCAAAGTCCAATTGAATAAAGTTGCCCAATTTTCTAGGTAGTCGTTATTGTTCATATCAAGAATATACAATGAAGCCATACCTTCGGAGAATATTACAAAAAGAGATGTGCAGAATGCTTAGCCTATAAATATGTGGTTAAAAAAATGAAACGGTTGATGTCGGGAGGTATGCGAAAGGGGCGCTAGTGTAAAAAGGGCGGGACCTTTTACAACAGATTACGAAACAAGTGTACAACAAGGTGTATTTTCATACTTTGACTGAAAATATGTTTTCAGCACAAAAACAAAATAAAATATCTTAAAAAAACAATCATAATATAGTACGCATGCGCACAGGCACGCACGCGCGCACGCACACACACACACACACACACACACACACACACACACATACACACACACACACACACACACACACACACACAACACAACACACACACACACACACACCACACCACCACACACACACACACACACACACACGGCTTATGGCTGAGGTTCTCTGAAAACCCCCATGGAACTTGTTCACAACGTTGTCTCGAATGATGAACAAAAACGGCCGATTGCAGTTGAACACCGCTGGGGAGATGCGGATGTCGATTCCCACAGAAGTGACCGCCGCGGCCTCTGACCCTTCCTCGTTGACTTCGATCACGGCCTTCTGAGCGACGTCGGTCACCACGAGGGTTTTTTGCCGTCGAAGGTCGAGAGGTCGGCCGTGTCGTCGAACGCGTCGCGGATCCCCATGCTGATGAGAGCCTGAGGAAGGAGGGAGAACGGGAGGTAAGGAGCGAGCCCTAGAAGAAGGTATATTTTAAAAGATTTCGATTGTTAAAAGGATGAGACTTAAGTATCGGCGTTATTGGTAGTACTGCAGCATTATTTCAGTCCTACGTTCGATTAGGAAAATATTCTTTATATTACGAATTGTATTGAGGAAAAGGTAAGTGAGAAATGACAAAAAATATATAGTTTGGTTTCAGTTACCCATCTGTTTATTTATTATTATATTTGCAGATAAGACAAAGAAAATGCAAATGACATGTGAAACGTGACCAAAATAGAGCTATAAGGAGAAAGGAGAATCTGCTCTTTTAGCCAAAGAAACTGCCAAGTTCTACCACGCGCAAACAGCCATTCCGACCTGCTGAAAACAAGCCATTCAGCTCACCTCTTTGAGCTCAGACGAGAGACCCTTCTCGAATTTAAACTTGGGCAGATTCAGAATTCTTTCACTGCTTTCCAGATTCCCGATGACGGAGGCAAGGACGGCGGGCGTGAGGCGCTGGAGCATCCGGTCGAGCTCGCCTCCGGTCCCACTGTCCCGCGGGAGGAGCACGAACAGCGACGCGGCGCCCCCGCGGTACGGCAGCTCCACCACGTCGGCATCCAGCTCCTCGGACACGCCTGGAGGGGAAGGGAAAGGGTCAGTTTGCTGTGATTTCGAGGAAAGAGGAGAAAATAGTTACGAAAGGAATTCCAAAACGAATTGACTATGAGGATCCGTTATTAAAAGGATTTGGGAAGCACATAGAAACAACAGCAGTCGAAGCCTTTACAAACGGTTAAACCAAACACCTAAGGAAAAACTATCTTCACAAACTCAACCGTCAGCAAGCAGCAAACATCCAAACATGCACCGTATGGATAAACACATACACACACGCACACGCACGCACGCACGCACGCACGCACGCACGCACGCACGCACGCACGCACACACACACACACACACACACACACACACACACACACACACACCACACACACACACACACACACACACACACACACACACACACTCACACACACACACACACACACACACACACACACACACACACACACACACACCACACACGTACACACATGCACAAACTCACACTTACATATAGGACACTGGTACTGACGACAAACAAAGCTACAACAAGACCCCCCCCCCCTCCCGCTTACCGTTTCTGAAAAAGGCCCTTTGTGTCATCATATCCACCGAAGACACTTGCGTTGGGGAAGTGAAAAAGTCAGCCTTGTAAGTGTCTTCCGCTCTGAATTGTTGCTCCCACAAGCCCTTGAAGTAGATGGCGTTGATAATCAGCATTCTGACACTTTTGAGAAGGCTCGGTTTCACTGCCTCTTTTATTTTCCCCGCTGTCGCGTTCTTGACGAAGGAGTTGATGAACTCAGCGGCCGCGGAAGGCTAGTCGGGACGAAGCAACATAATGTTATTTCTTAGGAATTTAATGAAACACACACACA